ATTTCAAGTGCAGCCACAAAGGCATGATATTTAGCAGTGCTTTTCTACATTGTATTGTGGTGGAAGGGAAGGTGTGTGAGTTCTGTCACTAGTTAGGAAAACTCTTCTTTAAAAAGCAGTTTAGACAGTGTGCTTGTTTTTTGCTCAGCAGTGAAATGATTCTGCTCCTACTCTGATACAGCACTGGTACCTTTACCCTGTAAAGTAAGAAAGATTTGCTTAAGGGGTACTTCATTTTGTTGACTTCAGTAAGCAGGCTGTGTACTCCTGACTGTTGTATGGAGTTTAGATGAACATGCTGATGTCTTTCATACTCTTTTCATTTCTGACCAACAGACCCTTATAGTAATTTGCTGAGGGAGGGTGAGGCAAATAACCATCAGGATAGGCGAAAGGAGGAACATGCTCTGTGACCTGCACAGTTTCAGTCCTCACATGTGGTTCATGGACGCTGAGGAGCAGAAGTGGTCTCACGACTCTGGTCGGTACAGTTGGCTTGACCCCAGGTGTTAAGGTAGAACAGGTGAAGTAGAAGGCATTAGCTTACAACGAATTTGAGTTATTCTGCACTGACTGACAGTCCCTGATTGAGGAACAGCATTTGAATAAGATTTTTCCTATCAACAAGAGCAGTAATTCTGTGATAGCCATGTACCTGATTGCTGTAAATTCCAAGCTGTGGTAGGATGTGGTCAATTTGGCAACACAGAATAGTGAGTTTTTATAGGTTTAGGGTTTTTTTTAACTCTCCTGAGCTTCTCTTACTTATTTGTCATGTTCCTCCCCATTCCACCATCATCCCTGCATGTGTATTTTCCTTACAAATCCACACAGATCACTTTCCTTTCAGGAATATAGTGTGGCCAGGTGCATATGGGCATGTTCTTTGACAGTGAACTTCATGTATGGTTGCAGCTGAACTTTCTACAGGCTGTAAATGAACATTATTATGACTTACTTTGAGTCTCAAGGTGAGCAAAACATAAAATGCAGGAAAGACTTGCAGGCTTTTAGAGATTCAATTTTTCTCTCTCTCTTGGTCATATTGAAGCCTTGAATGAAAGTTTCATTTGATACTGATGGTGGGAACAACCTTGAAAGCACAGCTGAGGACTTTGCTTGTGACTGGATAGTACTTTAAATCATCACCAAGGTCTAAAACTAAATCACACTTCCCCATTAAAGCCTGAAGGTGGTAATTTAGTTATATGATTAGAAATAACCAAAGGTGGGTGGATGGATGGATGGATGGATGGATGGATGGATGGATGGATGGATGGGCTGACTACCAGCATATTTTCTTGAAACACTGACTACATGGAATTCATGAGCTCTCCCAGAGGAGATAAAGAAATTGCATAAGCCCCTTCACAGTAATGAGTGAAATTGTAAAATTTCAGTGCAGCTAAATACAGCTGCTGGTGAGGCAGCCAGGAGGGCTTGCATTTGTTCATGCTGTTCTTAGAGCAAGTTGACATGGTTTTTGTCTGCAGTGCTTGAATTTTCATCTTTCAGTTTGGGAACGCTGGGGAGAAATCACTTCCTCCTTTAGGAGCAGTCCATCTACATGATAAAAGGGTATTTCTCTAGTAGTGTTAGATTATCTGTTTTAATTTAGATTTTAAAATAGAAACTAATCTCAAAAATATGAAATAAAATATAATACTTGATATTATTTATGTATTACCTTTAAGAAGAGCACTGCAGTTTATCTGTTTTCCCTAAAGAAAGCACTACAGTACTCATGTTTTTTCCTCCCGCTTCTTCCTGATACTTTTTTAGGCACAGGAAGTATGGCAATTCATCCTATGTAATCTTTTTGCTTTTGAGTGGTTGTTGCTGGCAGTTGTGGAGCTGTTCCCTGGCAGTTTTGTTGGTTATGTAATTAAGAACCATTAAAAATATGTACTGCAAGAAGCAGTTCATATAGTAAGTATATGAAACAAAAGAAAAAAGAAGTCTTTAGACTGAGAATGGATCAGAAGCAGAACAAAAACATACTCAAAGCAGTGGGGGGGGGGGGGGGGGGGTTTCCCAGTCTCAACAGAAAGTGTTTTATCAAAACTACAGATTGACCACTGGCTTTTTTGATTCTGTTTCCCAGCACTTGTTCATTTCTCTGTCAGAGAAAATTTTGTTTAGTGTAAAAAGACCAAAATCCTTCTGTTTGTCTTATGATGGCTGCTTTTCTCCATCACTGGTATTTTGGGTAGTTTTTTCTCAAGAGAAAAAGATAACTTCTTAAGCAGAAGTTTCACTGGCTTCACTGTGTGTTCTGCCTCACTTGCTTCTCTATGTGTTAGAGAAGTCCCCAGACATATGTCTTGCTACCAGACAGAATTTTGCATTCAGTATATTTGCAAGTGGCTGCAGCATGACTGGGCAATCTCACTGAAATCAGTGAAAAAAGGCAGCTTTGCACAGCTTGCGTTTCCATTATTGATTTATTTTTTTTTATAAATTACTTGATGAAAATCTGATGTATTTTAAATACTTTAGGAAGCTTTTTGGTGTTGAAATATTAATTTTTTGCCATGAAATATTTAAAATTGTGGTGGCTATATGGAGTTTAAGCTGTTCTTGCTAACCTGCACCAACACATAACTCGGTCATTAGAAAAACAGATGACAAAATGAAACGTGCTATTTCAGCCTTGTCATTCGCAAGCAGTGTTAGGAATGAGATATTTTGGGCTTGCATAATTTCTCACTTAAATCAGCTTATGCACAGGAGAGAAACACACTGCAGAATTTGATGGAATAAAGATACAGAACTGGAAAAGAATTTGAACTGCCACTTTGAAAAAAAACACGATACATTCAACCAGATCAGAATGGGGGGGTAAAATAACCTCAAACTATATAGGTTTACAGCTATACTCAGTGGGGAGAGATAGCAGAAAGAATCTTCTTCAAACAGCCCGAGCCCAGCACAGTGTTTTTTTTTGTCTGTACTCAGCTGTGGGTTTTTTGTCTGTACTGTGAGGCTGCACCTCGAGTCCTGTGTCCAGTTCTGTGTCCCTCACTTGGAGAAGGACATCTTCAAGTTCTTCTTGGACAGAAAAGGGCAGCAGAGCTGGGGAAGAGTCTGGAGAGTGAGTCCTACAAGGAGCAGCTGAGGGAGCTGTGGCTGTTCAGCCTGGAGAAGAGGAGGCTCAGGGGAGACCTTACTGCTCCCTACAGCTGCCTGAGAGGAGGCTGTAGCCAGGTGGGGATCAGCCTGTTCTCCAGGCAGCTGGTGACAGGAGAAGAGGGTATGGCCTCAAGCTGTGCCAGGGGAGGCTCAGGTTGGACCTCCAGAAGAATTTTTTCACTGAAAGGCTTGTTAAGTGTTGGAATGGAGCACCCAGGGTGGCGGTGGAGTCACCATGGAGGTTTTCAGGAAACAACTGTACATGGGCCTTAGTGACATGTTCTAGTGGACAAGGTAGTGGTCAGTCAGAGGTTGGACTTGGAGGCTACCTAAATGATGCAATTCTATGAAAGATCTGTGATATGTGCTTACGCTCTCCTGTGAGGTAAAAGCCATTTATCTCCCCAAAATGAAAGTTCCCAATATACTTTCTCATTAATAGCAGTTAGCACCAGTGAGCCAAATTTTTACCCCCACCTTGCAGAGATGCTTGACACTGCTGAGCCTGTGCAGCAAGCAGTGTTTGAGTGCTCTTCTATAACTTCAGCTCGGAACATACATACTAGTTAAGCATACATAAATGGAGTTAAAAAAACCCGACAAAACAAACATGAAAATTTGAGTGTGTTTTTGATATTTCTATTTTGTCAGTACCATTCTAGCTACAGAAGTGAAATGATGGCCTTATCTTTATGGAGATGGGAACTATGTTGGAGTCTATACAATACAATGAATGTATTGTATATATACAGTGTATAGAGTCTATACTATACAAGGGCACCCTTTAGGATGAAGTCTTATGTATGGTCGTTTTTATTTGGAAACAGAGTATCCTATTTTGATATGACTGACCCTATAGAAACTTGACAACAAAATGTTTCAGAATAATTTCCTGGACAAAGAAATGTATGTGTGCTTATCTTTGTGCCCTGTTTTATTAAAATGGGTGGAGTTTGTAATTTGAAAGTGCTCCTAAGAGGCAGTGGGCAGGGGTGGGGTGTTCAACACTCCTTGGCTGGGCTTGACCTAAATATGTAGTTATAACAAGAGCAGCTTCAAGCTCTCTTATCACTAAACAGGAGGTGGTGTGTATATAAGCTGGCAAGTAAAAAAAGCTGTCCTGCTCTTCCTGTGTGGGTACCTGTCCTGAGCAAACTGTCTGGTTTATTGGATTGGACTGCAGACACAGTTAAAAATGTACTGGGATTCTCAGTGTAAGAGTAGGTTTAAAAATGTAAGTTAATGACAGGATGTTTCAGTTTGGTGTAATTACACCCTTCCCTACATGGAGGTTTGAAAACACGGATGCTGTGAAATTTAGCCTGAATTTTAGCTCTCCTGCAGGATCCAAGCAGTTTGTGTCTCCAGTTTGCTGAGTTTCAGGAAAATGGTTGAGATGGGTATTTGATACTTTTGACTCAGACGTTTTAGAGTCTCTGGACTTCAGCTGCAGTCATGCCGACCTGTGCTTGGGCACCTGGGAGTGTGGCACAGGCAGCACTGCCTTGGCTGTGTTTGTGTGCTGGTAATGCTGGCTGAGTGGAGATGTTGGGAGGTGCGTACAAGGATGAAACCCTGAGATGGCTCTTGGAACAGAGAAGAAAAGCACTGACTTCCAGAGATGAGCATGCATCACTGGACTGTCAAATATGACAAATATGTAGAGAAGGGGACTAGCCCAATGCTTCTAAAAAGGGATTATTTTTTAAAATGAATAAATTCTGAGATACAGGTAATGCAAACATATTTTCTGCTATATATGGCACTAAGCCTGACTTTTTCCACTATCTATTAAGAGCAAAAGTGATACTGACCTTTAAATAATTACTAAATACCAATCTGATGTCTATTCTGTTTTATTTTTTCAGGTTGATTTTTTTTACTACAAACCAGTGAAGATGACGCCAAAACATGAAAAACAGGTAAGTCATATCTAAGCTTTAATAAAAAAGGATTCAAGTTTGGCAGCTATGGATTGAATTTCATTAATGTTCACATGGATCAGGGAAGATTGGTTGTATTCTTCATACTTTTAGTTGCCAGGATACAGAATATTCTGGAATGATGCAGTGCCAGTTCCTTCTGTTAACGTCTGATAGAAGACTCAGATATTCATTCAGAGTAAGTGACTGTCCATAAGGGGCTCAGACAGGAGAGAAGGATTTTGATGGAGTCTTCTTTTTTATCAATTTTAGATATTTTATAGGACTAATGGTGGGATCTGGGTCTGAACTCTGATTACCAGCTGCATGGACCACAAGAATCCCACTTACATGTTCTCCTCTGCTCAGTCCAATGAACATTAAAAGTTTCAATAAATTATTTTGTTTCAGCTCTTAGTTTCTTATCAGCTTTACTGCACAGCATGTGTGGAGTGAATATGCCAACACCCACAACATGGAAAGTCTCATGTCCTTTGTGTCTGATCCTTTTACTAACAAGCAACCTGGTGGGATATACTATTTTTCTTGGGAGCTTTGTGGAAAATTACTCTTCAGGGGTTACTGACTAATCAGATGTGTAATAGGAGCACAAGCTCATCACCTGATACAATCCTGAGCATAGATATTTGAATTAAAATGCAGCTGAAATGATTAATACAAATAATCAACCAATGTGAGATTGTTTTTTTATTCCTTTTTCCTGTGGTAGATTTTCCCCTCATATTAAAAATAGATATTTCCATGTCAGATTTCCTGTTTTCCTAGTAGGAAAATGTTAGAGATTTCTGAGAAAGGCACATTTTTTGTAGTCAAATTCTATATAGTAAGGCTTCTGCTTTTTCTTGAGGAATCCACTGCATTATGCAGAAATATATCCAACAAAAGAAAAGAGAGAAGGGGAAGAAAAAAGAGAGAAAGATTTCTTGTGTTTGCCTCAGCTGCCTTTATGGGTTGTTCTTCCTTTAGAGGCAGATCCAAAAGGAACATTTTCTTTTAACATGCTAGTATCTATGTGACCTCAGTGACACCACCTTTTAGTCTGCTGTCAACACTCATGTTCTTTGCATAGATCTGTATCCATGAGGGAGTAGGTGTAATCCAGGTTTGGGTGTCACTTTGACCGTTTTGTCATTTATGTGTGACTAGCTACTTGGACTGCTCCTGGCCTTGATGACAGGCTAGCAAAATACCACCAGTGCCCTGCTTCAACTGGCTGGTCTAGCCGAATTAAAAGACACATCCAGACAGAGAAACTGCTCTGCAGTTCCTGCTTAAGTAGTTATGACTACTTTCAGGGCAGATCTGAAGATTCTGAATATTTATGAAGATGTTTAGGCCAGCGTGGCTGCTGGGATCCATATCAAAGTCATAGCTTTAGCAGTTCGGAAAGAAAATTATTTGCCTCTGAATTTAGCAGTTTCCAGAGAGAAGGAATAAATGGAGATGCCACATCTTTCAGTAGCTTTCTCTTGAGTATATACTGTTCCCAGTACAAGAGGCCTCCTTGCCTAAGTCTGGACATTTTTAACAGTCAGCAGCAAATTTTGGTTTTGAGAGAACTGTTGCTCTGAAGTGTTACAGGACACATTCTTGAATTCATTGATACAAATGCTTGTATTGTGCCCCTCAATTAAAAAACCCCAACAACACAACCAAGGAAAAAACCCAAACAACAACAACAAAGACAAAAGCCCAAACTGAAAATACTTGGAATGTGACATAATAGCTAGATTTGCAGTTCTGGAAAAACCAAGCAGCACTTGGCAGGGCAGTAATACAACTTGTAGAGCATTTCAGCTGGCAAAAAAAAAAGTCCCTGAAACCTTGTTTGTCTTTGTACCAAGTCTCCCATGTTGTACAGCCGGATTGCAATACAGTTTTGTGACAAATTATTAAGTTAGTCTTCAAGTGGTGTGTGGGAGGGAGAGGTCAGCGTCACCTCCCCCAGGTGGACAGTGCATGACTTGAGAATAGACATGTCTGTTGAAAGTGTCCTCATTTTTATAGCAAGATAGGGAGGGAGTGGAATGCATACAGAAGAGAAAGGCAGTTATTACCCAGTATTGCTGTAATCTGCTGATTGTTTGTGACCAATCAATGCAGGATGGACTGAGCATATGATGGCAGTCTTGCAGAGGAGTATTCTGCCACCTAACTCTGCTTGGACAATAACATAGCCTGTATGTGAATATTGGCCTTTACTCTAGGAATGCAAAAGCATAGGCATCTTTTCTGGCAGTGGATCATCACTTATACTGTGTGGTTAGGTCTGCTTTGATTAAAGCAATGCTGTTTGCCCAGTGGGATCTTGTATTCTGGAGAAGACTTAAAGGCAAAAGGTCAAAAGAGAAGGAACAGTCTATATGTGCAATGCCACTGTTTCAGAGCAGAAAAATCTGTAATGGGAATGCACTTCCTGGATTCAAGAGATGAATAGGGGAAGTAACCCAAAATCTTGAGAAAGGCTGTACATTTTTATTTTTCATTTCTAGTTGCTTACTGTTTATCTTGCTTCATTCTAAGCTCGGTATTGTCTTTTTTTAGGTAAATAAGGGGGGAAAAAAAGGAACACCCAGTCTTCTGTTGAAATCCTAGTGTTTCAAATCAAAGCTGACAGTGACTGTGTGTGAGGGCTGCATTTTGCTGAGGTGCTCTGCTGTTCTGCAGATCATTTTTCTTCTTGCCTCAGTTCTTTCCTGCTTAGACACTGCCTGCCACAGCATATACAGCAGGTCTCATTTCTTTGGTAGGTAGAGTCTGAAGGGTTTTAACTTCCTCCATGTTGAAACTCAGTGAATAGTTAATTACAAGTTAAAAGTGTACAGAAGTTTTCCAATGTAAATCTTGTGGTCTGGAATGATTTGCAAGGTAAGCCATAGCTGACAGCATATCCAGTAGCAACTTTAAGTCACAATACTTTGGTATTACAAAGGTTTGAAAGAAGTATACTTCTTCAAAGACTGTTTTGATTCTGTACAAAGGAGAGGGTTATGGAAGGTTATTTGGAAATGGGGTAATGTGGGGAACCTGGACAAAAGGAAAGTCAACAAGAAGCTGATAGAGCAGTAGATGAGAGGAAGGAGACTGGGGTCAGGTTATAAGCAGGCTGCCTGAGGTTGTGACTCCTGTGCTGCAGTGGTTGAGGGGAGGAGGAGTGCAGTGTCCTGTTTAAGCTTCTTGGCATAATTTATCTTCTTCCACTTGCAGGACTGATGCATTTAATGCTCAGCAAAGGAAAGAAAGTATGTTGAGAAGTGGTTGCAGCTTTGGAGAAGATTGGGACACAGGGAAATAGGAATTTTGAGAAGACAAAAACTTGTGATATAAAAAGATAGTACAGTGGGTCTGAAAGTCTACTTTACCTACTTACCTATGTATGGTAAATATTATAGACAGTGAGGCAGGTGGAGAAAAACAACCAAAAAAATTGTGTCCTCTCCTGTGTGTGTTCAGCACATTGCTGAATATCTTCTCTGGAGCAGAGATAATTTCTCATATGTCACACTAGTGATTTTGTAAAAGTAAAGGCATGATCCTCAGCTGGTAGAAATGATTAAAGCTCTGTTCATTTGTTCCTCTTGTGTCATGCTGTCCTGGGGTTAAAAAGCTGCGGGGGAGACTTGGCCCTCTGATGCTCTTCAGTGAAGAAAGAAGCAGCAGAGGTGGCAGGAGCCTTTAAAATGTGCTTTCTTTGGCAAGCTGTTCATGATACTCACCAGAAGGGTAACCACCACTTATACAGGAAACACCACTGGGACCAGTAGCTGGGCTAAGTGACGTAAAACCAAAAGCTGTGTCCAGCCATCAGGTAACAGGCTTCCCGTCTCTGAAGCAATAATACCTGGAAATCAGGGAGGAAAATGATTTAATCGAGACCTTGAATGTCTCACTGCTACCTACATAGTGCCATGGCTGTTCAGGAAAAAGTGTATCTTCACCTTTCAAGGTTGTTACTGTTCTCCTGTCAGTCCTCTGGAGGTTTGCAGTGCTGGTACATGCAACTAACTGTGTTAGAGGAGACGACTGGGCTGAAGAGTAAAGCTTTTATTCTTGTATCTTTGGTTTGGGCATAGGAAGACACATTTTGAGAGCTTTCTAGTTCAAGATTTCTTGATTTATGCAAATATGTACTAAAAAAAGCATGTTTTTTTACCAGAGACGCTGTCATTCCTCCCACAGTCGATTCCTGTAGCTGGAGATCTTGCGCAGTGCCTTCCTCTCAGGGGGACTATATCTACAGCTTAAAGTGATACACTTTTCCTTAAGTGGTTGGATTAGCTTTTGGGGTGAATTATTTAAGCAACTGGAGTAGGGTAGCCTGTGCTTGTGCTCCAGAAGTAGCAGGTATTTAAGCACACTTCTGACCTTTGTATTTCAAAGGAATGTTTTACATCCTAACATGAATATACAGATTTATCAGGATTTTGTGGTTTGGTTTGGTTTTGTTTTTTCTACAACAAAATTTTGATCATTAGCTGGGAGTATTGAGAAACATTTAATTCTTCAGTCTCTTCCAATTCACGTTAGTGATGCCCAGTTACATTACAGTAACATCCACAGGCCCTCTCTCTTTTGGGATCCCTCTAAATTATTACATAGATACAATAAATTACAAGGAAGTAAGCTAGATATGACAGCTTCTACAACAAATACTCTATATGATTGTCCCCTCAAAATGGGGAATTTTGCTGTGCAGTGTAGCTGTGTTGCTTCCTTGGGCAGGTTGATGGGCAGATTGGAACAGAAATGCCCCAGTGCTGCATCTTCAGCTGTACTCTTTGTCAGTGTTGATTACAAATGTGGGAAAAGCCTAAAACACCTGCCTCATCCTCCTTTATGTGTGTGACTTTGAATGTTAGACTTTTAGTTTGTCACTACCAAGATCTCAGCTCCCATGTGTGAAACATGTATGAGTTTTCAGAGTGTTACTTCATCTGAAATACTCCTTTTCAGCTAGCGGTTTGGCAGGGACTTTCCCAGACATGTGGTGTAGCTCAGATGATTCATTGCTTTATGCTTCTCCATTTATAGGGTTGCAAAATTCAATAAAACAGCAGTTCATCTTTTAATCTGACTCAGTAGTTTGTGGAACAGCAGAACAATCAAGAGTCTTTAAGGCTGCCTTTGTCTTCTGAAATTAATTGCTTTTTATTATGCACTTACAGGAATTTGTAACTGTCTTGGTGCGAGACCCCAGGATACAGAAAGAAGACTCATGGCATTCCTACATAGACTATGAGATATTTATTCATGTAAGTATAAAAATATGAGAACAGATTCTTTGGGCTCTTATTGCTGTTTCTGTCCAAGCCAGGGTTGTCTTTGGGATAAAAATGGAATTTCTGCTTCTGGGATGCTGGAGGCTATTATTCTCTTTTTAACAGCTGGGATGCAGTGGAACAGGTAAGGTGGGGTTTGCCAGTGGCCATGTCGTAGGTCTTGCAGAGCTGGGGTTGAACCTAATGTGTTCACATTTGCATTCCACAATTTCTTACAACAGGCAATTCTTAGCTTTACTTATCAACTAGAGGACTGTTACGGTCAGTGATACCTTACCATTGTAAAAGAATGTTGATGTTCAGGTATTCATGGGAAAGCAACTTCCTTTTCAAGTTACTACCTGGATATTAGTGCTTTAAATTTTTCTCAGTTCTTTTTGCCACGTTACTTGGTTGATGCAATGTGGTTGTTTTCAGTGTACCTTGACATTCATATTATGCTAATTTAGTGGTGCTTGGATGTGTGAAGTAGTTGCATTTGGATTTGTGATTATAGTCCACCATACATTAATGGGAATGCACTTGGCATTATGGTGCTTTTGTGCCTCAAGTCTGTCCTATGGATAATTTTGTTTTCTTGGTTGTTCTTTGGTGGATGACATATGGAAGGTGTTATCCTAATTTGCCAAATCTAGATCCAAGGATTTTAATTGCAGTGTAAAATAGAGGTATTTGAGAGCTCCAAGTTACATGGTTAATGCTTGGCGTAAAACCAAAAGTATTTCCTTCCTGTGTGGAAGGGTTAAGCAGTTAGTGTATAACAGCAAGCAGTCAAATGATGACTTATTAAATGTTGGTGTGACAAGTACTTCTCTCCTGTGTGGCAGTCATAGTTGTGAAACTTAAATTTGCAATGTGCTTCCAGTACTGCTTCCAAAGCAATTATATTTTTAATTTCTGGAAAATAGAAATTCTGTAGATTTGGCAGGGTGGGTGCTGTATTAATGTTTCACAGACATCAGTGTCTCTGAATAGAAAGTGTATTAAGGCTTTCTCAGTGACTGCTGAGCTGGGGAGATGTTGTTTAGACGCAATGTGTCTTCATTCAAGTCCAGCCAGCAACTGAGCACCACACAATCTAATGCTCACATCCCCTCTGTCCCACCAGCAGGATGGAGGGAAGAGAATTTGGGGGGTGAAAGAGAAAACTCACGGGCTGAGATAAGTTTAATAATCGAGATGTAGTAATAACTTTAATAATAAAATAATAATAATAACTAGTAATAATATAAATACTAATAAAGAAAATAAAAAAAAAAATAGATAAAACTGTAGAAAGACAAGTGATGCAAATGAAAACATATGCTCAGCACCAAGTAACCAGTGCCCAGCCAGTCCCTCAGTGGCAGTCCCCAGCCAACCTTCACCCTAGTTTATTGCTGAGCATGATGCCGTATTGTATGGAATATCCCTTTGGTCAGTTTGGATCAGCTGTCCCAGCTGTGTTTCCCATGCACTCCCAGCCTGCTCGCTGGTGGGGTGGGGTCGAGTGAGGAGCAGAAAAGACCTTGGTTCTGTGCAAGCCAAGTTACTGCTCAGCAATAACTAAAACATCCCTGTGTTACCAGCACTGTGTTTAGCACAGATCCACAACACAGCCCCAGCTACTGTGAAGAATATTACTTTTCCCCCAGCCAAACCCAAATATATGATCCATCATTGGGCATATCCGAAGCTATTAAGCATCAATTCAACTTCCTGCCACCACAATCCCAGGGGTTTTGGAGACTAAGTCTGCCTGGCTTTTAGGACAGCTGAGTTCCCCTTCCACCCAGCTCTTAGAGCATTTATCTTCTTAAACTGTGTGGTACCCTAGGTGTGCTCCTAGGGTGCTTCTGTTCCAGAAGGCTGTCATCTTTGTGCTCTCTACAGTCTGCATCTTGTGGCTGTCTGGAGTTAGGGCTCCTGGCAGGCAGGGAGGGTGGGCTGGACTGTAGGCAGTTTTCTAATGGAGTCCCTGTCTGGTATGTGGGATTTCATCTAGATGTATGCTCTATGGGAAAATTTGGCAAAAATATTTAATTTCCACAGATTGTTTCTCTTTTGATGAATTGGCATTTTCCTTGTGAGCTAATTGTCTTCTGTGGGAAAATTTCCAAGTGCTGCTACTTGCAGAGAGCAGTCACATTGGTTTCTTTGGTTTGACTTAAATGGGACTGCACACTGGAAAAACTCTGTATAGCTGTTTGCAGGATTGTAACTAGAACAGATGAAGATCTTTTTCCCCTGAAAAGATTGGCATTATCTACTGAAACCTTTTTCTGTGGTCTATTTTTCCTGTTACTGTAAGTTGTACTGTAATCCAAATCTCTTGCTTTTAAAAAGAAAGCAATGAAAAATATTTCCCTGAGAAGCAGTAGAAACTGTCACCAGTCTTGCCTTGAGTTAAAGCACAGTCCTTAACATAAACTGAATTAATGTCAAGCTTTCCATTGGTATCTCGGGCATTAGCAAAACATCTTGGATGTGTTGTTAATACCATGCCTGCACTTTAGCTTAAGCTGATTTGCAAAGTAAATGTTTTTTATTTCCCAACAGACAAACAGTATATGCTTTACAAGGAAAACATCCTGTGTTAGACGACGCTATCGAGAATTTGTTTGGCTCCGGCAGAGGCTTCAGAGCAATGCAGTGCTTATGTGAGCAACTTTATATATGGCTATTTAATAATCAGTCAGGCATGGAGAGAAGGACTGTTTCATTTTAATTCAGAGAACTGCAGAAATCAGATCTGGAAAGTATCCTGTGTTTCTTAACACATTTATTCTGTAAAGTGCATTTTATGTGCTTTAAACCCAGAAGAATGTGGTTTGTACTTATAGCCTTTTTTTGGTGAGGCCCCCCCTCTAATTTGTAAGAGACTTGATCTGTATTTTCTTCTATGTACAGATAGCAGAAATAACCATCTAGTGTAGGTGTTTGTACCTCCTCTTTGTTCTTCTTCAGTGTGCTTAGGTCTTGCAAGCACTATAAGAAATCTAGCAGACATGGATGCAGACTTAAGAACTTGACCAGAAAAATCAGATTAATTTATTTTCCCCTTTGAGGTGTGTGAGAAGCCCTTCAGTTTGTCAACCTTGTGTTCCTAAATCGATTTCAAGAGTTTCTCAAACATAACCCATGATTTTCACATGCTTGAGGTTGACATTTGCTTACTGCATTTTTCTCTGCTGTTTCACATTTGGTTTTAACTGTATTTTTTTTCCTGTTTATAAAGACAGCTACCTGAACTGCCATCCAGATCTCCCTTTTTCAATATGAACAATCCTAATCACGTGGACCATCGCCGTCAAGGTCTGCAAGAATTCCTGGAAAAGTGAGTACAGCCTATCCAGAAGTGTTGAAATTTTTATGAGGTCATCAATTCCTTGTTTAAAATAGCTCATCTCTGGTACTTGAGAGCCACCGTGTGGTCATCTGTACATCCTACACGTTTAGTTCTATTATTTTACTTGCACTGTCATAATTCATACACGTGACTTCAGCTCTATTGATTACAAGGAGACTTCAGCTGGAGCTTTTCCATTGTGTTTCATTGCACTGATTATAGATAATAGGCTTAGATTTAAATCACTTTGCAATTGCATACTTAGTTTGGGAGATCTTTCACTGTGATGTCTATTTGTAGCTTTCAATAAGGAGCTGGATATTCTTGTACAAAGAAGAAAACCACCCCCCTTTATGTTCATGGAAAATTAATGTCCCTGTGAGCCTGGGAAAATTCTCTAGTGAGATCTCCTGACACAGAGCTTTCATATAATGCAAATTACTTTGTTTACCAGTCCCACTAACATAAGCAAGCTCTAGCAGTTGTGACTATTTTCAGTGTAGCTGCAATCTGTATAAAATCATTCATCAGGTTTAGCTAGACCCTGACCTGCATTACAAAGGAGTAGTGCATGAGTTTCAGTACTGCATCCCTCAGTCCCACTGCTGTGGCCACTTCACCTTCTGCAGCGGCTGAGCCCCTGTTGATGTAATTTTCTGTTTTTTCTCTGCCATTCTTGTTGCACTCTGGCACTGCTGGTGTGAGAGCAGGCTGCTCACAGCTGCTGGGGTAGGAGCTGTGTGTACCTCTGCTGGCTGCCTTTAGCTGCTGCTCGGGGTAAGGGCATGGTGAAACACTGCAAGTAGAGACTATTAATCTTCTTTCCAGTCCATGTATTATAAGCCTCCCTAACAGACAACAAATCATCGGTCCCGAGGTATATTTGTTAGGCTTAGCAGCTGAAGGCAGGGACAGCTAACTGCTGCAGGAATAATATTCTGCATGCAGTTATATAGGATCTGTGGCCAAAAGGTCAGCCAATAAATACTGGCTGAAGGCATGTGAAACAGGGAAGAGAAAGCAGAAAAGGATTAGAGGGTATTTTTACGCCTCAGGAAAGAAAATCAGTGAAATGGAAGGGCTGTGCTCCTAGAAGCATGTCAGTGATAATATGAAGAGTGTGGTAGCTCAGGTTCCTGGCTCTGAGCAGTTCTGTCTTAGCTGTGCTGTCCCACAGAGTAGTGCATTTAAAAAAACACTGTCATTTTAAAATGGCAAAGAGGCCAGCCTGGTAACAAGGTATATCGACATCAGAAATGTTTACAACTGCTGTCTGCCCTTCAAAAGGCAAAAGAGAAAGGTAGATGATCTTAAAAGACATCCTCATGCTCCAATTTTGTGGATGACTGTAGCTTTAAATGAGTACTGTCAGCAGAAAATGACAGCATGTGGAGCATTTCACCATGCTGCTGTTAGTTCAGGAGTGGGAAAAGAAGCAACTCAATGGAAAGGTAATGATTTAAATGTTTGAACTTGAATGGAAGGAAAGTGTCAGCTTTCTCTCAGCCCTGGGAGCAGTTGGAAGGAATTTTCAGAGGTTGTGTGCACTTCACTGTACCATTGCCCTCTGCTGGCTGGCCCCGCTGTGCTGCTGCTGCTGCTGCTGCTGCTGCTCCACACAGAAGACATCTTCCTATTGGCTCAGCAACGCTGCCATGATGCTTTCCCCCCCCATCCCCCCATTTTATGACTCTGAACCAAAGGTTATGATTCTTTTTCTGAAATTGAATTTGTGGAACTCCCAGCGACAGTTAGTATAATATATATATAGACATGTGTATAACATATAGGTATAATATACTTAGGCATGTAAAATGCACACATATATTCTGTATATATGTATGTTCTATTTGTACAATATGCATATATGTACAATATACATATGTTACATACATATTGTATATAATACACACGCTTGACTTTATTGAAGCTCTGGGTCTGGATGTTGCACGTTCTGTGGGGTGGCAATGCCAGGTGGAGCAGTACCTTTCTGATACATTAGAAAGGGGGGACCCTAACCCCAAACTGCTAAGCTGAGAGCTCCATTCATCCCAGCAATGACAGCAGTCACTGTGCACAAGCTCACAATCCTACTGGTGTTTCTTTGAGGCAGTGGGAAGAAATGAGATTCAAGCCTATGTGGACCTGTCTGGGGAGAGGTTCGCAGGTAACATTTTTAAATGCCTGTCTGTGATGCTGAGATCTCAGGTGTTGTCAGGATCCAAGACACCTCTGAAAAGGGTGTTTAGATCTTCAGAAGTCTTGGTTTGTGCCTTGTGTCTGTATGACCAGATTGCTATAGTGCCTGCTTGTGCAGGAGCCACATGCCTGTGGAGCAGGATTGAGCAGCTGGAGGCTCTCTAGTGCTCATCTCCTGGCCCTGGGAACACTTCTATACTGCCTATATGTGGATGGCTACAGAGTTCTCTTGTCTGTCCTCACTTCCCCCTCCAGGGTGAGTTAGCACAGGGCACAGCGTGTACTTAGAGCCTTTGTGGAGCCCCTCCGTGCTGAGCACAGTAGCGTAAGAATTAGGCCAACAGCTGGGAAGTTAAGCACTAGACTTTGGTGAAATCTGGGAACAGGTGTCCCATTTTGATTTGGTTTTACTGCACAAATGCAGGGTAAGATCTACTTGGCTTACAGGTTATTATCTCTGAGTGATGAAGAGCTGTAAAGCTCACTTCTTGTCTGGGCATAATTTAATATTTCAAGAGTCCATTTGCATTAACGGAAGTCAGCTAGCCCCTTTTCAATTATGAATTACTTTGTAAGAATAAGGAAAATTATGTGTTTTTCCTGCTAAGTATCCTCATCCTTTGAGGATGCCTGTAAATTCACAGGAAAAGTTTATTTTTAAACTAGAGGTCAAAATTAAAACACTATCTTATAATTTTAGTTTCTTTAAGATCCTCTGCATGTCTAACTTTGGGATTTAGATTACCCACACAGAAGATGTATTGGGTTTGCTCATGAGAAAACTAATTAAAGCCATTTTAAATGAAGTTGAGGTCAATTGATGACTTTTAAAAAAATTGAATATAGTTGGATCCCAAAAAATTATGTGATTTAGGGAGAAGGATTACTCTTCAATCACTTTTCAAACATGCAGTTTATTATGGGGTGGAAGACACTGAGGGTTTTGAGAAAGGAAATGCTTGGATCCACAGGGAACAGAGGGTATCCATAGTGTTGCTGTTGCAGAGGGCCATGCATTGGGCTTGATGCAGCAGTGAGCAAGCCACCCAAAATTCATCTGCCTAAGGAAGAGCCATTTTCTGAAGGTGTCTGGTGTTTTGTCCTTTTCCTCCCACCTCCTTTTCCACTGCAGTCCCACAAGCTGCAGCTGGTGCAGGGCCAGAGGTCTCTTCTGGAGGTGTCTCCACTGGGTGCTGTCTCAGGGATGTGGAAGGTGGGAGACTGGCTCCAAAAGGGATGGATGCCAGCTTGCCCCTGCCAGGGGCTCAGGCCAGGAGCATTGGCAGTTGTGGGGCAGGTGGAACCACCTTGGGCAAGATGCCTCTTTCCAATGGAGCCTTGCTGGTATTTCCTATCCGGTGAGGGAATAATGTGTAGCAGGCACATGTGGCTAAATCTTCTCCTAACCGCACGCATTGTCACATACCCAACAGTTGCTTCACAGTTGCTTGATACCAGTAACATTTCCTCCCTTATAAAAGTGAAGGAGGAAAGACAGTCAGCTTTTTTTAAGAGGAAACTGGGGCTTTGTTTGGTGTGGGCTGGGGCTGAGGGGCTGGATGCTCAATAGAGGGCACCACAGCACAGGCTGTCATCCCCCGCCTCTCAGCTCCTTGGGTTTTTCCCTTGCTCTCCGTCATCTGATATAAATGGGCAGAGTAAATTTGTCGAAAACAAAATCGGAGTGTTAACCTTCCACACACATTCAAGTGTGCATCTGTCATTGTATTAGGTTACAGTAGATACAGGAAATCTTTAGTTAGGATTAAGTTGTACTGTTCAGCCATATGTTGTTTTTCTCCAGCAGAACAGTGTATAATATACCTAATAAAATCATGTTGAAGAAAACCAGATTTTGGACCTTGTCCAAATAAGAAAAAACACATGTTTTTCCTTTGTAAATATTTTTGCCTTAACACAGGAAAAGATAAATATTCCTCCTATAGTATCCAGCATTTCCTCAAAAATGACATTATTTCTTCTGCTTGTGAAGTGATGTTTTTCAGTCCTGCTTCTTTAAAGGTCTAGAGATCACGAGCATTTACTGCAAGATTACAAACAAAGATGGTTGTGAATAAAAAAATTATTTTATTATCTCTAATTCTAATGTGTAGCCTTATCCTGCAGCCCCCTTAATCATGTAAGTAGTCATTATGCATGTGAGCAATCTGGCCAAGAGGAGTGAAATCTCTGACAAGTAATGACCACTGATGGGATCAAGACGTGCAGGGTTTAGCCTTTCATTCTTCTTGCAGGCGTGCATAGAAGGTCTGTTGTTCTCCTAAATATGCTCAGTCAGTTTATAGGAATTAATACCATGAGCCGTGACTCCTGCAGTAGCGCAAAGGCAGCGAGTGCTGATTTACATCACTGTAAGCACAGCCCTGCCTGGCACTGGCTGCAGGGAAAGTGTTGAAGAAGCACTGGGAGCGCTACCAGTTGTGTTGAGACCGCGCACGCGTCCAGCCTCCGCAAAGACATCCGAGTGTTAATGCTGTGACACTCCTCCCCTCCTCTTGCCTTTTTCATTTGTTAGGTCGTGGTTTGTAATTTTCATTTTTTAAGTCCTTGAAGCCAAGTCTACTTTTTAAATGTACAGTCCTTCACACAGTGAGCCCCCAGGACAGCAAAAGCCCCAGAGAGCAACTGCTATACCAACACGTAATACTACTAGTACCATCTGGTGACAAATGTTGGGGTATTCCCTTGAAGAAAGAGTATTTTGAACAGGAAAGTGTAACACTTATGGGTAGTGCAGAATTTATTGCTCATTTTGATTGCTTGAAGCATGCAATTAAAAAGCAGTCTAACCTGTTGGTTCAGAGGGGGCGGGAAAAGAAGCAGCTATTTTTTAATTAAGAGAGAACAGAAATTCTTCAAGGGTACAAGCAGTTAAAAGGTGTCTGTATATTTGCTTTCAGGGTGGTTTTAAATGACTTGCAAAATGCATTGAGTGTTTGGTCTCAGTGTGAACACACACATACATATATATATTCATATATATGAGTGTGGGTGTGATTAGCTCCATGAACATCTTTTCGTTGCTGCGCCTTGGTTTCTCTTCACTCCCTTCACCTCCAGATGGCACTATGAAGCAGAAAAGAAAATTACTGTGAAATAATGAGTCCAATGTAAAGTAAAATTGGAAATTGAATTATAGCTGCAGAAAAAGGACAGTAGCCTTGAGGTCCTGATCAGTCTGTACTCTTATCACTTTTGTTTGCTGTTCCATGTGTTAGGTTACTGCCGAGTTAATAACAGTGCTTTAGCAGTTCAAGGCTTAGCAGAATTGTACTGGACATGAAATAAAGCTAAAATGAATTTGTGTCCAATATCATTGACATTAGTGCTCATTACTTCTCTGGTGTAATGCCTCAAACCATCTAAAATCAATTTTAAAGATTACCCGTTATTTTATAAAGAAAATAAAATACATTTCAAACAGCAACAGAGCTGTAAGTGTAGTGTAATCTCATGAACAGTTAGTTACTCGTGTTTTCATTGGTTGGCAGGAAACTTTTGAAGGTACAGCAAGAGGAAAAACTGTGAAACTAAATGCCATTCATAGAATTTAATGACTTGGCTTTTTGCTGTGTTACTTGGCATTAGACACGCAAATGTTAGAATTGCAGAAATGTGCATCCCCTCACTATGCCTGGGAAAAACAATAACTGTAGTTACTCTACAGGAAACTCCAGCACATTATTTTTCTTTTTTTTTTTCTTTTTTTTTTTTTTTTTAAGAGAAGTAGAAGGAGACTATTTACTCTCCCAATTCCATAAACGATAAAAGTGGATTTATTGTCTGGAATGATGCCTCTGCTTTTTGTTGCAATGTTTGTCTTTGTTTGGAATGTGGGTTTATCAAGATTCAAGGCTGAAATCCTCTTCTAGTGGCTGCTGAATAATGGCTTTTCAAACTGTAATCATGAAGCTGTTGCTGTCAAGGTGTGTGGACCTGTAAATTCTGAATCATTTTGAATCATTTGAATCATTTTTACACAGCCTTTGCTGGATTTTAGACTACAAAGTTTTTCTGTCTACTAATGCATTACGCACTTTGGTTTTACAGATGTCTATTTGCTGTTAAAATTGCAAGAATTCGGATTGGATTTAAAAGGCTTCTCTGTGTATGAAAGTGTGCTTATTTTGAACTTGAGCAAAATCTGGTCTTTCTGAGACTCCATTTCACCCACACCCAGTAGATCATTAGGGTCGTTGGAGACATTTCCTCATTGGAAGGTGTCAGAGTTGGAGTTGTTCGGTTGAGACTGCGTGTTCACCTAGGCAAGTGAAATGTGCATGCACACAAGTATCTCGTGGTTTCATGTAGGCATCTCCTACTACTTACTTTAATTTGACAGATTTTTATGGGCTTGAATGAAGCCAGAAATCCTTTCGTGTGTTTATTAAATGTTATTGTAACGTTGGCCGCTTTAGTGAACAGTTTTCAGAATGTATTTGTGTTTAAAACGTTACGGTCCAAACACACCATTAATCTTATTCAAGAGAAGGAACTAATCAGTTACACTTTTCATTTTAGTCAGAGTACCTTTAAAATGCAATATTTCTTTCTGCTCTTAGTAGTTCTTACATTAATGTCATCTCTTGTTTCCTGCTGCACAGCAATGACTTTTTTTGGTAAAAACTGTAGCCTAAATGGGTGTAAATAGGTAAATATTGACTCTGAGTAGCTTGGAGTTGTTTAAAGATATTTTAATAATTTTCTCTGGAGCACTCTTTGGCATAGTAATAGCCTCTGATGTCTTTATTACATGAGTAAAATGACACACACAAATTGAAGAAGTTTCTTGTTAATCATTCTAGGATTTGTATAGTAAAAAACTCCCTTTTAAAGAATTCCCATTTAAAGAAATGTTGAAGAAAAGTTGCATATCTTTTCTTTAAAAATAGTGATGATGATCCACAATTCTCAGGCCTTGAAAAAGTCTCTCTACAACTTTCTGTGTTACTGAAATGTATTGTATTTTGTTTACTGTCATATGTTTTAAGTAAATACTCTGTGCTAAATTTATTCGGGACTTAATTTAAAATACATATGAACCAAACTTTAAAAGTGATTTTTGAAAATTTAAGAGTCCCTGAAAACTATCTGCAAATAAATTAAAACCAATGTTCAGTATTAGCATTTTTGTTCTAGCTTAAATATTTCTGACAGTGTAAATAATTTTGACTCGGGTTGGCTCAGTTGTTGACAGGTATTCCAAGGTCCTGATGTTGCACATGTATGAAGTCTGTTTTGCCTACACACTGTTTCTCTATGCCACCAAACAAATCGGTGACTTGTAATTTTTATAAAAGTTTGTCTATTGAAAAAAAGAGAGAGAGACCAAATTTTTGTAAGAGTATATGCCTCCAACTGCCTAAAAATCATTAATTGATCCGTGTGGTAATAGCAGATGGTTAAATGGAAGAAATGTCCTTGAAGTTATTCTAATAGCAGATGTGCCTAACTATTAGCTTCATGTTTTTACTCACCTAAAATTCCAAATAACGCAATAAGAAAGTAATACGCACCTAATCATTTTAATACGCTCATTGCCTTCTGTTACTGATTTAGGATTCATCTGAAAACTTTAAAAGCAGGACATCATTTAGAATTTGTTCTGGGAAAACACTTTAGAATATATCTGTGTGTGTCTGTGTGTGTGTGTGCAGGTTGTATATAAACATTTGCCTTTTTTTTGCTTTTCCAGGGTCCTACAAGATGCATTATTGCTCTCAGATAGTAGGCTTCACCTCTTCTTACAGACTCAGCTAAGCCCAGAAGATATGGAGGCCTGTGTGTCTGGACAGACCAAATACTCTGTTGCTGATGCGATTCACAGTTTTGCCTCTCTGAACAGACGTTTTCCTATAGAAGATGAAGAGAGGAAAAAAGAAAAAAACGATGCAGACTCTGATTCAGAGAGGTGATTTCTGTATATCCTTACTTTCTGAGATTATATATCCATACATACACATGCACATGCTTCACTTTTTTGTTGATGTAATACTAAGATAATGAAAAAATTAATTGACTGAGATTTTATTGAGCTGTGACAGCTCATCATAGAAGTCTTCACACACACCTCCACACTGAATTAATGAATGCAGTAGAAATTCAATTATCTGCATTCTGATTATGTGAATTTCATTTAGTCAGACTTGAATTATTCGCGTTTAAATTATCTTGCTAAAAAAATATCCAACTGCACTCCAAATGGCTAATTAAAAGTCCAAATTTCCTGTCTCTCTTTGTGACTGGAGATAATTAAAGTTCTCCTCTGTTACTCAGGCTTTGAGTGTGTTGTGAAAACCAATTTCCTCCTTTTATTTTTTTTTTCTCTCCCCCCCTCTCCCCTTTTCTGCAGTTCATCCTCCGGGCTCGGACCTAGTGATGACAGCATTTCATGTGGATGTAAAGCAAGCCCAGCTTCTGAAGAATCATGAAAAATCATTCCTGTATTGCTACCTTAAGGACAGTACAGAGCAGTTTCTGCTTTGTTTACTGGTTATGTGTACCACACAAACAGGGCTGTCTGGTAACGTGTACCTCAAAGACCCATCGTTAATGCAAACATACGTCCTTACAGAATACTCAAAACAGATGCTGAGACTATCTTTCTGGTGATTTTTTGGGTTTTTTTAATGTATCTTGGTGTAGGTCTACATTGCTACCTATTTATGTTTTTGTGACTATTAAAATCTCAGTATTGGGTGAGTCATGCTCTTCTGACATATGTGGCAGTTAAAATAATTCCCTCAGTGAGTGCATGTCTTGGATTTGAAAAATAAAGATAATTTAATTCTTCATCTTATAAGTTGCTATATCATATCAAACATATTCAAAGCATCTTTTAGTCATTTGCATCAGAGAAGTTTCATCTTTAGAAGTCATTTGACATTGGTGATGAAATTACACACCCCACCAAGGTACTCACTTTTTAAAGTAGCTCAGCAACATCAGCAAAACAACTTTCGTACAAACTATATTCTGCTGACAATTTGAGATATAAATACATCTTACTCTGGTCCTTCTGTAATGTTTATGGAAAGACTGTTTTTATCATGCGTAAGTACTGAAGGCAAAAATTCTTGAGCATGGTTGCTTAGAAGTTTAGAAATATAAATAAAAATTACATCATTTCTAGGCTTGCTGGAGATTCTCAGCTCCCAGGGTATTATGGATACACATTCCCGGAGAAAATCGCAGATGAGGTCCATCAAATAGCTGAATTTTGCATCGACCTCGCTAGGGCCGGGATTTCACCCAACATGTTTAACTATAAGCATTTATATTTGAAGGTGCTGGTAGAGGTGTTCAGCAGCTGAAATGGGGAGTATCTCCCTCTGAGAGGATGATAATCACGTAGCTGTTAACATCCTGCATGGATGTGGCTCTCTCCACTCTCTCTGAGTAACAGGAGCCACCGATTTCATTGTGGCTGTAGTTACCACGCTGGAATATTGACTTTTTCACAAACAAAAGGCAGGCTTGAACACAACTTCTTAACCACCAACACTTACTTTGATTAAATGTCAGTTTTGCTCTTTATTGTTCACAGCAGCTGCGTAGTGTCTTGTCCCAGATCCTGTCAAAGGAATATGTTTCACTGTGGTGTTGTATTTATATTTGACATTTAACTGCTATTAAAAAGAGCTAGGGGGTCTGATCACCCTAGCAAAGCTCCCATTAACTTCAGTGCGGTAGTTACCGGCCTAGAAATGGATATAAATACATGCCTTTTTTTTTTTTTTTTCCTTTTTTTTTTTTTTTTTTATTTCTTCCTTTTTAAAGAAAAACTGTGGTTACTTTCAAAGGAGCATTTTAAACATGTGAATTACAGAAACAACAGATTATTAAATACACAGTTAGTAAGGGGTAGTATAAACATGTGTGGGCATGCTTTTTTAAAGCATCCAGCTGGGAATCTGTGTAATTTTAGAAACAGGTTTTAATAGCTTGAGAATAACATCTCTTAGGTAACTACTTTAAGCCACTGTATTTTGTTGATGGTAGCACTTTGTAAGATAAATAATCTGGGCTTCTTTTTTGTTAGGTCTTACTGAATTGCACAAATGTATCTATTCACCGTTTCAGCTTGTATGTGACTTAGCAGCAAAGCTATTTTTAATGTAAAAGTGATAATGTTTAATTAAAGCAACAAGTTATCACTAAAAGTAGCTTAAAATAGCTGTTACTGCCAGTCAGAGATTTTGATTACTTGATTTTTTTTCCTATATTTTTTTAAGATGGACACATTAAAAAAAAATGTTTAGCAAATTTATTTAAAAGGTGGGAAGGATTAAAAACTGGAATAATGCTGGGAAGGATATTACGATTTTTATTTAAGACAGTGTAGGTTTTTATTTTTTATTTGGAAGATTGAGCTAAACTCTTGAAGCACTTTACAGTTCTGGCTTACTAACACATCCTCAGTACCTGACAAAATCTACAGAAACACAAGGTTTGGAGAGCATTTGTGGCTGATTTTAATTCTAGGAGCTTATCAGTATGCCAGCGAGTGTTTTCCAAATGAAGATGTTTCTGAAATAAATATTTGTTTTCTAATAGCTTTATTGTTATTCTCTTATTTTCTTCATCATTCTGTTAAAAAAATCTGAGACTACTATAACTTTCTTTCCAGCTTTGACAAAAATTTGTTCAAATATTTATTTTCTGAATGTTGTTTGTGTAGGTAGTGTTATCGGAATTTTTCTTGGTAATGGGGGAGGGAAAGTACCTCATGCTCTCTAGTATGTCTCCGTCATGTATCAACTGTCTAGAATCACATATAAAGGCTTTAAGGCATTTTGTTTCATTGGAACATTAAATGTAACTTTTGCAAATGTAAATGTTAAACAAAAAATAATTTAAATGTCTTTTATTACTTCAGTGATTTAGTAACTTTTCAGTACTATGACATACAGTTTGATCAGCTGGTCACTGGTATTTTGACTCTCATTTTTTAGTTTTGAATAATGCTGACATTTCCTGCTAGCTATTTTTTAAAAACCAGGATAATACCTAATTTATAAATTAGAAGTAGTAATCAGATTACATTATATCTAATTGCAGTAATTCTGCATTCAAAATCTTTTCTTTTTTTGCTTATAGCTTTACATCCTCATTTTTATGATGATTTCTTAAAAGCTTTTAAGTAATTAAATAAACCAAGTTACTACTTTCTAGCTCATGTTTAAACCTGACAGTGAGGTTTCCTTTATTTCAATATCAATATCCTAATCAGTTTATGACTTACCATGTGTAATTTACTCTTCTGTTATTTTTTTAATATGTGTATATATACATAAATATATGTATACTATATACATATATAGTACATATATATATATATATGTACACACTGTATGCACAGACACTTGTGTTTGAGTTTTCACTTCTTTACATTTCCTACAAAAAGAATAGCAGAGAAACTCCACAAAAAATGCTGTATTTGGAGTGAAAATAGTTGTTTACATCACAATGTACTTCTATAAGCACCGAGGGAAATTTATACTCTAAATCTCATGCTGTGGAACAGTGCAAACTTCAGTGTCCACATCTTTTTTTGACAGGTGACATACTGAATTTGTTTTCCAGATTAATATTTAAATTTTATATAATTACTGTGAATTATAAAAACAAAAAATGTTTGTGACTTGCTCTGTTATACACGGTATGGATAAGAAGAATAAACCTGGTATGGTCCTGTGTCGTTTCCCTATAATTGCAGGACTGGGCTCAGGGCTAAGGACCGGGAGCTTTACTTTTCTTCCCTAGCTTTTATAAGGTGGCAAAAGTGTAAAAAATAATTTCCAGTCTCAGGCTGATTCTTTTCACGAAAGGCCTAAACGCTTTAGGAAATTATTAACACAATTATTCTCCGCTTCGCTGTTAAAAATGCGCCATAACGGGTTAAGTCGTTTCTTCGCCTTCTGGAACAAAACCTCCTTAGAAATTAATTCAAGTGGCCTTGTAAAACAGAAATCGAACTGTGGCCTTCGGGCTCGCTTTTGGCTTGCGGGGCGCCCGTAGATGCTCCGCGGCTGTGGGTGCGTGTGCGCCGGCCGGAGCGGTCCGTCAGCGCCGCCCGCCCGCGGCGCTCCGCCGCCGCTACGAGCGGGCGGCAGGACTTAAAAACGGGGGAGAGGGGAAAAAAAGAACAAAACAAACAACGGGGGGAAAAAAGGGAAAAGGATCCCAGATCGCGTTCCCCGCTGCGCCCCGGCCCGGCCCTTCGTCGCGCCCTGCCCTGCCTTGCCTTGCCCCGGGGCCGCGGAGCGGAGCGGGCGAGAGCCTTACCTGGGGCCGCCGCGCTCTCCGCCCCGCTCCGCCCCGCGCCCGCTACTCAGGGAGCGGGGCCGCCCAGCCTTCATCCGGTAACTCGTGGCAACCGCAGCCCATGGCAACGGCGGAGGGGGAGCCGGGGCGGGGGCGGCCGCCCGCGCTGCCGCAGCGCTCCCTCCCTCCTCCCTCCCCTCCCTCCGCTCCCTCCTTCCCTCCTGGCTCCCCTCCCTCCTCCCCTCCCCCCTGCCGCCCCGCCGAGGGAGGGGCCGTGCCCGCCCCGCTCCTCGCCGTCGCCGCCCGCCAGGGGGCGCTGTGCGCCAGCGGGAGGCGCCGCCGGGCGGGGCCGGGGCGGAGCGGGCGCGGCCCCGCGCCGGGAGCGCGCTCCGCGGGCGCGGCTGAGCGCGGGAGCGGCCGAGCGTTTCTGGGATTTTTCTGGGATATTTCTGGGGTTTCCTGCTACCCACAGGCTCCCCCCATCCCTGAGCCCGCTCCGCAGCCGGGCAGAAACAGGGAGGCGCCACCGCGCTGGGGATGGGCGCACCTGCCCCCCACGGGAAAGCTCCCGCCACCCCTCACGCACCGACCCGCACGGCTCCCCCGTATTCGGAGCGTGCCTGTTACTGTTTCTCAATGGATTAATTTATATTTTTATACAAAAGCAGTTAGGGCCCAGGCATGACATTTGGCGGCCTCGGTGGCAGGCAGGCTGCCGTTAAGTGGAGGCCTCTCTGCGGAACAGCAAGAGCCAAAAGGCCTTGTGTCACCCAGTTATGTAAGACACAATCTCGCCTGAAAATGCACAATGAATCGGGAAGGATTTATGTAATTAATTGACCAGTCTTAACCTGTTATCGTGATGTAAGGAATTTGGAACTCATTAATTTGGGCCCTGACAGATTTCATATTAGAGCTGGCAAATATGGATTGAGCCTCTTATTCTTGTAGCAGCTGGAATTTCCATGACAGTGAGGATTAGTGAAGAAGACCTATTGCTCAAGTCAAACTGACTCTTTTGTAATCAGCAGCCCTGCTCTGCATTAAAGGGGTAATAGGAAAGAGGAAAAAAAAAATACAGAGAGGAAAAAAAATGGAGAAATGTATTTAAGTATGGAGCAGAGCAAGGGAGGGAGAAGAGCGATGTATGTGGACAGCACAGGCACCAGAGTGGGGTTTTCCCAGCTCCATGACAATGCAAATGCCACAAAGGCAGCCCTGGGGTGATGGAAAGTGCCTGGAGGACAGGTCTGTGCAATCACCATGGGCCTTGCCTCTCGGGCCAGCCTTCAGATGGACCTTCCCAGGAGCCACTGAGCACTTGGTGCCGCAGTGTCAGAGGTTCTGGGAACAAGGTCTGGGCTGCCAAGAGCAGGAGGGACTTAGGAAGAGAAGGATTTGGGTCATGATCCTGGGGAAGGCAGGACTGAGAGATACCTGTCTTTCAGCTTGGACTGTGACACCCTCCCTCATGGGGAAAAGGATGCCCAGGTGGGTAAGAGTGAGATCCAAGGACAAGGACAGGCCTCCATGCAGCCATGGCAAGCGTGACTGCACATGATATGCCTCAACTTCCCCAGTACAAAGACAAGAAAGAGTAAGAAAAGTCCCTTTGTCTGCTGCTTTGTGACAACCTCTCAGTTCAGTTTTTCATGGTGCCTGGCCGGGGAGTGCCCTCATCCCATTATCATTTCTTGGCATTGATGTGGTAGTAATAACACTGAGTGCAGTCTGTATGGAAACAGTCTAGGAGCTTTTATTTTCTCTCCTGGCAACCTGTTAATGACTGCCCTGGTAGTGAATACAGTTGTTAGCAATGACATTAAAAGGTTTTCATGAGGCCTCATCATAGTTCTACATGCTAAGCATTTACCTACTCATGTAATAAATGCCATGAAGAAATGGAGGAGTGTTTTTCCTTTTCTCATTTTTTCCTTGCTTTATGCCATTTGGCATTTGAACATTTCCCCTTCACAATTTCTTAGGTCCACCATTTGCTGCTCTGAGGAGAAGAAAAAAGTCATAAAACAGGGGTATGGACAGTAAAACCACAATTGTTTGCAAAGACTGTAAAGTCAAATGCAGATTAAAAATGAAACACAGCTAATAACGCATACATGGCTCTTATCCTCTGGACATCTTTGACCATATACACATTTGTCTTGATGTCCGTCATTGTGTAGAGATAATTAATGAAACCTGGCACTAAAATGTATTCAGTCCTAAATTTGGGCCAATAATCTGGGTCATAGCTTTGATCTTCTTGATGTAAAATAAATAAATAAAAATATATATAAAAAAAATAAATCAGACCAATACATTGCAATTGGATTGTTCTCCTTCAAATAATGCATTTTGTCTTACTGTCTCCTGATACATTAAAAAAATCTTCACACATGTCAGCTATCTCTTATTTTCCCAAAGGTAGGGAATAATTCATTGTTTATGACACCCAACTCAACTCAACCATTGTCTCACTCAGTTTATCTTCGCTTTTCTAATGATTAGGAGCAGTAAACCACCCAGGTTCTGCTGCAGCTATAAGTTTTATCCAAATGTTCCTCTTGTTAAAATGTTGATCAGGCACATCTAATTTCCATGGTAAATGTGCCAGACATATGTCTGAGTTTAGAATTATTTCAAACAGCAATAAAAAACATTTTGAAGCTTAAATGCACATTCTCTGATTTCTTCCCATGGTTATACTTAAAATATTCATAAGTGGTAGAACTTTCCAGTGATACCCCTGATTTTGAGTGCTTGCAAAATTACTTCTAGGGTCTGCTCCTTTTTTTTTTTTGGCTTGTAGATAAGAAAACAGTCATCAGATGAGATGAATATTTTGTCAGATCCTTACATTATTTTTATTCTTTGATGGTTAATCAGAAAGCGTGGAAAAAATGATAAAGAAAAGAGCCTACAGTTAAGCCTTCTGAACAAAAATATATTTGCTTCAGATATTTTGTTACTTAGAACAATACCAGAGGACTGGTTTAGTTTTTGTGGAAATACTAAATGCAAATTTCACAGTAAAAGTGGTTAAGACATATCAAACACTGTTCCAGTTGAAGTCAATGGTAAAAAACTTTGTGCTGCTTCTATGGGGGTTTTCATTCAGAAAACAGAAAATTCTGTTTTCTGAATGACACTGAGATAAAAAATTACATTCTTATTGGAACCAATTTGTGGTCTTTTTGAATGTGCTGTAGTAATTTTTTTTCCTGAAAACAGAAAAATGTTTGCTTTGAAACAAAAAAAAAACAGTAGTTTTCAAATTCAATGATTTTTGTTGTTGTTGTTTTGTTTCTGAAAGACAATATAAGGATGAACTTCTGAATTGATTTCCTATTTTTGGTGTACTTATGTTAAGTCATGGGTCTTAATAGGCTCATAGAATGGGTTGGGTTGGAAGGGACACTGAAGTTCCAGACCCCCTGCCATAGGTAGGGACACCTCCCACTAGTCCAGGTTGCTCAAAGCCCCATCCAACCTGGCCTTGAAAATTCCCACAGGTGGGTAGTCAACAACTTCTCTGGGCAACCTGTTCCAGTGTTTCACCAACCTCACAGTAAAGAGTAT